AATAAATTTAAAAATAAAGTAAAATAAAATAAAATGCCCTTAATGAAAGCGTTTAATTAATTTAAAATAAAATATGCAAGTCCACATGGTTAAAAAAAAAAAGAAACAACTGAACACCTTGTAATACAATAATACACTCGAGTAAATATTTCCACTTTCACGCCTACTGTTGGAAAAATAATTTGCATTTATGCAATCAGACAGACGGTCAGCGAAGCCAAAATACTCCGTTTGACAGACAGAAGGATCATAAAAATGCCACACATACCAAACAAATATATTTTATTTATAGAAATATTTACATGTGTCAAGGATATTAGCTCGTTTCTTGGCAGAAAACAAGAGTAAATCAAAATTTGAAATTTCGATCACGAATACGTTCAAAAAGAAGCAGCAACACGATTAACATTAGGTCAAATATCTGAGCCTAACCGTATCCATATCCATATCCCTTCCGAGACACCCCCCCCCCCCGCCCCCTCATTGTATCCTGAAAGTATGCTTCTTGCACGGCCGTTTGGGTGTATTTGCATTTGCACAAAAGTATGCTTTGTTTTATTGCTTATGCAAATTGGCCGACTAATTTCGTAGGGACTCCGAGAGCAAATCCTTTTGCTTCAGTCGCTTAGTGAACCTTTTTCCATTGCCAGGCGGTTTATCTAGTTCGCTTTTCCTTTTGATTTCATACAGACACAAACAGCAGAAAAGTTGTTCTTTCTCTATTTATTGCTCATCTCCTCTTTTTTTTTCGTGTTTTCTTTTTCACTCTTTACAAAACATAAACTTTTTTTTCGCCTAATGCGCTTGAGTACGTTGTTGTTGTTGTTGTCTTTTTCCTGGCTTTCTTTCTTTATTGTTTCAACATTTTTGTTTTGTTTTCGGAGATTTCTGCACTAAGCAGCATTTGGCAGGTTATTTTGTTTTTGATATGCTCTTAGCCAAAATGCCTTAAGCCAAACTTTGTCGGCACGCATTCACCGCAAGCTGATGTCTTCAGCTGCCTCGGGTGCCCAAATCGTCATGAGACTGTATTATGTGTTTACTTAAAAGGAAAGCAAGGTAATTTTGTAGTAAATGCTCTATATAGATGTATGAGCAGATAGATTTTGGAGTAGATTTTATAGATAGTTTAATTTTGTTCAATTACAAATTTGATTTCCTCTGTGTCCATTGACAGCTCCTTAGACAGCTCGTCTAGAATAATTCTATGAAGGAATCATTCTATGAATGTGAATTGATTTTGCAGCCACACACACCTATTTAAATATACCTGCATTTTAAAGCACAAAAAACTTATGGTGCACGGCGGGTGCCCTATTCCATCCAACATAGTTTTAGTATGTAGCATGGAGCAGAGGTCATGCCTCGTTGCCGCCGAAAGGACTCGACTTGACGCCAAGGTCCTTTATCAAAGCGAAAGTTGGTGCACAGTTGCAGCAGGGCCAGCACACACACACACACACACACAGACACCTACACATATACACACCCGCACATTTGTAGATACTCTGGCACTCACTCGCTTGCAGGTCAATTATCGTGCTTTGCATCCCACGCGCAGCTTACCTATCCAACTGCAATTGCAGCTGTCCTGCCGTCGTCGTTGTTGTTGTTGTTGTTGTTGTTGTTGCGGTTTTGTTGCCGCTGGCGTCTGTGGGTATCTGGTGAAAACCGAAAGCCAAACAAATTTGTAGCTTGAAGTTGGGCCATTGAGTCGCTGGCGTCGTTTCTCTGCTGCTCTGCTGCTCTGTTGCTCTGTTGCTCTGTTGCTCTATTGTTGTTGTTTTTCTCTCACTGTCTGTGCGTCTATTTCGCGGTTTTCGTATGACCTGCGGTTAGCTATTGCAATGAAAAACTTTAGCTCTGTCGCTAATTAGGCATTACATATACAACATGGGTTAAGCATCTTGAAGTGCACTAAATTGCGCTAATCATAAAACATGCAGAGCTTTCTCACCCACCACCACCCCCACCATCACCCCAGAGATGCTCTGCCCAAGCTCCAAAACCACTTCAACTTGGTTGTGTGGCCTTTGTATGCAACGGTTTGTTTCAAGTGTTGCTGCTATGTAAATTATGCCACCAACTGCAACAGCAACGGCAACAACTTCAACTACTACAACAATTGCCCAAGAATTGTGGCAATGTGCACTCAGCGTCATTTAGTGCCACGCCCACACACACACACACACACACTTAAGTGACGCCCACATTGTGCGCATTGACGACGCGTGCAACGAAGTGAATGCATAAGTGCAAAAGAAAGAGAAAAGAGGAAAGAGCACGAGCTTGGCAGTGAATTGAAGTGGGTGTGATTAGAGTGCGTGAGTGTGTGTGCTACCCCCCGCACACACACATAAAGAGACACACACATATGCATAAATATATGCTATGGCAACATTTCTAGACTTTCGCTTAAGTGGTCCACTATGTTGGCTTAAAATAGCAACAATAGTTGTCTATAAATTGCTTTGTTTACTAGAAATGAACAAGCATGGAGCAAAATGAATGAAATGTTTGAGCAGTTGAGAGAATGAGAGTGAGTGAGTGAAAAATCAGTTTGCAATAAAACATAAGACTGTTGTGGAAATAAGCTAAGCTTAACAGGATAATATTTGTTCTTTGCTACACTTTAAGTGAAATGCCAACATTGAGAACAATCAAGATTCCATATAATCGTCCGTATTTATAAGCAAAACGATAAAGTTAAAAGCTAGCAAACTGTTATACATATACGGCTTTACCAACTGAAGGCATTGCTTAAGATGAGAAGCTATTATTCACAAACTAGTTCGATATTTGTTAACGTTATTCAATTGCCTTAAGCAACTCAACTGCAACAAGCTACAGAGAAACTTTACTTTTTGGAATGCAATTCCAAAAGAAAGATTATTATTATTGACTTACTGGTCTTATGTATGTTATAATAACAAATCTCTAGCTCTTATAACTTCAGAGATTAACATAGTAATAGGAACAGACAGACGGATATGGCTAAGATCTGCCACGCCTCCTTCTACCAGCTATATACATTTCATTAAAAACTAGCTGGCCCGGCAAACGTTGCATTGCCCTCTATATTATTTCTAGGTAAAAAATTGTTGAAAGCTATGTTGTTCAGGCTGGGATACACTGATAAATTTATTAATCGGATTTTCATTCAAGCACCTTGTTGTAAACGACATTCTTCGTTTTTTGGTCGGGTGCAAGAACAAATAATGCGGATCGTTTGCCAACACGTGAGCATGCCACGTACAATTGACCATGAGAAAAACACGCATTTTCTAGATTNAAAATTTGAACATTTGGGGAAAAAACCGCGTTTTTCAAGTATTCGGCAAATTTTTTCAGTATTTTTAAGACCCTATACTAAACTCGTTGCGGAGACAAATCCAACAAATCAAAAACCATGAAAATTGGTTCAGCCCAAATCAAGTTATAAGCAGTCTTCACTTTTACACAACTTTCTTTTATATATATAGATAGAACGACCAAGTTCTACCGTATCTCCTAGTCGGCCACCTCTGCTAAAGGTTTCCTAAATGGGAAGGTCGTGTTCTAAACTTATTTTGTTAATCTTTCACAAGTAACATGTATAAAATATATACGAATAAAAAATATAAAACCAAATAAATAAACAAAACAAAAAAACAAATAAAACTATATATATTTATATGAGCCTCATGTTAATTCGTTCCTTCTTTTTTTTTTTAATTCTCTTCAGTTAATTGGATTGCAAAATAACGTAACAAATGCAATTAAGTAAATTCATATAAACATATTCCTCAGTGTTCGATGTTTAGTTTACATAGAGAATTTCGGAGAGTGGATTATTTTTATTTTGCTTCACGGAACACTGTGCGTGGGATAAGCGCGGACCAAGGAAAAAAATTGGAAGTCTCTTGCTATTATATCTTCTGAGATCGACGCGTTCAAACATACGGACAGACGAACAGGGCTAAATCGACACAGCTCGTCGCCCTGATCAAGAATGTATATACTTAATAAAAATATATGAATATGTTAACTACTGTATGAACTTCAAACTAATTCGTTCCTCATTTTAAATTCTCTTAGTTAATTTGATTACGAAATAGCGTAACAAATGCAATTAAATAAATCCATATAAGTATATTCATCGGTGATCGTTGCTTAGTCTACATAGAGAATGTCTACAAGTAACACTAATATGAGCTGCAACTGGATTATTCTTATTTTCCTTCATGGAATATTGGCTGTACAATCCAAAAAAGTAATAGCTCGAGCTAATTTAGTGTGTAAACGAATGCTAAATTTTTGCGAACTCATATATAATCTCATCTTGCAGAATTCAGAAGATGAGAATAAAATCCAAAAGAAAATGACTGCGCTTATTGACACTCAATCTGGGCACTACGAAAATAACTATGAGTATTTGTTTTTCGTCACTGAGCTAATTGTAAGTAGGCTATCGAAAAAGTCAATTTCAGCGAAGAAATCCGACATTAAGAAATTTCAAACATATAACAATCGACGATTGTATCTGGAGGAACAGATAGACAACCGTGTGGATCGTGTCAATTTTGAAATGTTATCACTTCCTTATGGACATACTTGCAAGGACTTTTATATGCAACAAAAGTCGGCACTCGAAAATGCATATACAAAGAAAAACTCAGTTAAGCAAGACATTCTAAATGAAAATAGTAAGAATTGTCCATCTACAAATGATTCCGACGGTCGTAATAGCTACAATAACAACAACAATGAACAAAACGACAATGATAACCCCAAAAATGACATCATTGAAAATATTGATGCACACATTAATTCTGCATTGGGACACTACCAAAACAACATGGAATATAACGAACGCTTGAACGATTTATACATGGCAAAACAATCTGACTGGCGGAGTTCACACATAGTACTCGCTGTTAATAAGTTTCATCATTATAACACTCGACGATTGGAACTAGAGAAACAGATTGAAAGCCGTGTGCGTCAGATCGATTTTGAAATGGAATCACTTCCTCAAGGACATTCATGCAGAAATTTTTATATACACCAAAAGATGACACTCGAAAGAGCGTATTCAATGAAAAACTTAGCTAAGGAAAACATTTTAGATAATACTAGAAAGAATTGTCCATTTAAATATGATTCCAACGCCCAGTGGTCGGGCTCGAATGGAGGGAACAGACAGGGGCCGGGCTGGAAGAGAGGGACCAGACAGAGGCCGGGCTCGAATGGAGGGAACAGACAGAGGCCGGGCTCGAATGGAGGGAACAGGCAGTGGCCGGGCTCGAATGGAGGGAACAGGCAGTGGCCGGACTCGAATGGAGGGAACAGGCAGTGGCCGGACTCGAATGGAGGGAACAG